GTTGGTTATTGTAGTATATTTGATTATTTTGTATTCAATATCTTATATATATAAAAAAAAAAAAATTTTCCGGGTTCGTTTGACTCTTCTGCAAGACCGATTTTCATCATTGAGGTCTCGAATTGAAGGTATGCACGTACAGATTTGCCATCAAGCATCGGCATAAAGGTATCTATAATCCCACTCGACATATACGTAAACGAAATTTGCTCCCCGTGTATTTCTTATGGGAGGTAAATTTGGTTTCTCTTTTCCGAGTTTGCTTCGCTCTTCAACCCGACCGATTTTCATGATTGAGGTCTCAATTTGAAGGTATGCAAACACAGATTTGCCATCAAGCTTCGGCATAAATGTAACTATAATCCCACTCGACATATACGTAAACGAAATTTGCTCCCCGTGTATTTCTTATGGGAGGTAAATTTGGTTTCTCTTTTCCGAGTTTGTTTCGCTCTTCTACCCGACCGATTTTCATGATTGAGGTCTCAATTTGATATGCACGCAAAGATTTCACATCAAGCTTCGGCATTACCGGCATTCATCTAAGCTATTAGTTATTCAAATCGGACGAGTTTCAAGCAAACGCAAGGTAAACAACCAACATAAAAATGATTTTTCATAAGGGTTTTCTATGATTAAAAATCAATCCCTCCAGTATTGTTTATGTTTTTGACTCAAAATAATCAGCAAATTATATACTTTAATTTGAGCTATTGATCGTTTGAACCAGTTAAGCTCAAGATACTGGATTACTCAATCAAAAATCATAAACTTGATTATTTCTTGGATATTATATTTATTTTAACGCTGCGGAGCAGCATGGGTCCTCTAGTATATTTGTAAAACAGCGTTTATCGTAGGAAACCGGATTTGTATAAAATGTAAATGTGTGTTAGTGTTAGTGTGTGTGTACATCACACCGTATCACACCACGTCTGTGACGTCATATCAGGTGATTTTTAATAAACTCCCATTGGCTGCCGCGACCACGCTATACCTGGTATCTAACCACTACGTCAGTCCGTCCTAATCAAGCAACCGTTACACCTCTATCCCGGTCCGTGCAGCCCGTGGTATTAACTAATTATGTAGTTATTATTTTCACTAGTACCGTCTCCCGTCAAGTTAAAACGTCATCACAGTGGCGACGTAACAGTTATTATGACTCTACTAAATTTCATGCAGATCACATGAGCAGTTCAGGAGGAGTATTTGTAAAACAAAGGCAGGAGTGTAGTATAAGAGCTTCACTCACTCCGCTCAAAAAATATTTAAATTGCCGATGGTAATATGTAAAATACCAACCCCCCCCCAAATCACAGTAGCTCAAGTGCTCCGCTGCCCCGCTCTGTGCAGTGTTACCCCTGCCAATAACCAACTACAATTGAGGTGAATGCTTCTTACTCTACAAACTCAGTATAATGTTTGGTATATGTCTAACATGAACAATACAAAGTCTCTTTCCATCAGTCGTACTCGTAAATAAAATGCAAACATACAAAGTCTTTATCAAAGGTCAAATGTGATACAATACTATCTGAGGAACAAAGTACAAGTAAAGCTAGACAGCACTTTTCAGTTCAGGGGGTATAGTTGATCAAGATGGATTCGAGAATTGTGTGTTTGTGTTTCTTGGTGTTATTTGTAGATAAGTCGAGGACCCAGCCTGTAAACAACACTACAACAGGTAAATATTCGAGTCATTTTACTAAAGTTAACGTATTACCAGTTACGTATTAGGAGGCAACGTATTGGGCCTACGTATGCCAGTGCTACTTAGTAAAATGTATTGAGGCACCGACAGAGTATACTTACTGATATAAGTTACTGATATCTGTCGGATACACCTACTGTTTAGCCTAGCTAAACTGAAATGACAAGTTATTGTAATCTGGAGGTTGTTTTTATGTCACCCTGGATACCTCGGTATCTGAATCAAGAGAGGAAATTTAAATATTGTAACTGGATTATGTTTTAGGCCTAATTAACAACAAGTAGCGAGGGACCGAGCCATGGCTCGGTACAATTTATTTCGATTGTAAAATCGATACAAAGGAAACTCATTTTTTACAACTAATTTTGGCTTTTATTATTCAAGTTCTAGTGGAATTTATTATTATTTATGAAAATGTTCTTTTTTCATGTCCTTTCATCTGATATGTCACAAGGGGTACCTTGAAATTTTAAAATGTTAAGTTAAGGGTAGGGGGAAAAGGGGATGAATGGGAAATTGAAATTAACGTTGAGAATTTGCAACAATTCGGGGCCCTACGCCAATAGCTGATTCCCACAAAATGCATTTTTTAATCCTCTGCAGTTTAAAAAAATAAAGAAGCAATCTACAAAAACATCCTGTATACACAGAATGTTCAAAATACACCCGCCGCAGCAAACCTGCCATACAAGCGAATTTCCATATTTGCCTGAATTGATTTTCAATTAATCTATTTAAATAACATTAGGTTTAACTTTAACGAGTACCTAGGATTTCTGCTACAAGGAAACTTATAAACTGTGATATAGTAAAATATTAATAGCTTAGTATAAAATAAATAAATTTGCCAAGTTTGATCAAAATATAACCATAAACAAGCAAACTACGACATTTTACAATATTCTCCATAAGAATAACATGGACATTTAATTTTTTTTTAATATTCACCGTTACTTATAACCGTACAAAAAAAACTTCGATATACAAAATTATTTGGTTTTTAAGCTCTTCAAAAAGGTATAGAGAGAAATTGGGAAATTTTGTGTTTTGAGGGTCAAAAATGAGAAAACCCATTTTCTACCCCATAAAAACCTCCCTAAAACCCCGTTCACAATGTCCGATCATGCTGGTTCGCGAACTCATTCAAGGATATCTTGCCTTACACCTTTAATCCAAATTTAATCAAAGTCGGACAAAAGCTACTCAATTTATCACGTTTACGGATGTATAAATATAAATTTGAACGAATGGTGTTTTTGGCCTCTGGCAACATCAAAATGAAAAAATAAATCGATCCCGAGCCTAGGTCTTGCCATGGCACCTACGGTAATGGTAGTAGCTACTTTCCTATAGGGACATTTGCTAAAAAGTAGAAACATAATTTACGTAGTGATTCCTTGGGCCAAAATAAGAAGAAAATAAAGAATAAAAACTTATCCGAAATCGCTTCGTCAAATACTTGAAAATCTAAGCCCGAACATAGAACTGAGATGTTTGATACCTTCAGAGACGTGATAAACATATAGATAATTATACATTATACAATTTTCAGCTAGAAACCAAAAACTAAAAACTGTTCCCAAAATTTGGTTAAAGCACATAAGATGCGTGCTCACGTGGTGGTAGGTACGCCTAAAAACTTATATATTCATACATCTAATGAAAAAAATGTTTATCCACTGGCAAATGAGTAAAATAAATATTCAATTTTTGTTTTTGGTATACATTTTTATTATTTACCCCAAACAACAAATTACAATTTTAAATAATAGTTGTTAGCGCAGCAATGCGCGCCGGGTAACTGCTAGTATATATATTTATGTTTGTATGTATCGATGTTTCAGGGGAAGAGTGCATTTCAAATGATGAGTGCATTTCAGGAAAGATATGCATAGCTAAAAAATGCACAGATCCCTGTGATGGGGTGTGTGGGCTGAACACAATTTGTGTGGTACAAGAAGGAGATCCTTTGTGTTCCTGTAAAACTGGCTACGATGGAGACCCGTTTACGGAATGCAAGCCAGGTATGTAGGACTAAATTTACAAGATTATGCTCTTGGGGTTGTCTATCAAATACATATAGGAAGGAGGGGAAAAAACACAATGCTAGAACAGCGCGTTAAAATACATTTATATGGTCTCTTTTATTCATCTACTTTTCATATCCAATGAATAGTGCTGAAAATTTTGCTGTTACCTTAGTAGTCTCACCGTTTACAAACTTCAATAAACTAACTCCTGGATGCAGCAGCTTTAATTTTCTTACAAAAAAAGCCATGATAAGAGTTGGTTACAGAACACCCTACTATATTTTTCTGAATGCAAATTTTTTACATGGTAATTGGAGGATGTGTTGGCTGAACTTATCGGTTTTATAGGAAACATCAAAACAATTTCAATAACTTTTCAACCGTTGTTTTTACAGTGTTGGGAGTTGCATAAATTATTTCAAGGATAAATGGCCTGTATACAAATTTTGTCCCGTTTGCACCGTTTTTATAAAAAATATATTTTTTGTTTTTGTGAGGTTTTTTGTAAAACCCACCATAAAAAACCAAAACTGCTAATTAACATGAGTTACTGTTAATGGTAAAAATTGACCACATGTGTTGCCATTAACTGTAAAGTCCAATAAGTAGTCTACAAATCTCCCCTTCACAAACACACATCCACAAACGCACACATGGACATCAATTCGAAAACCACTTTTTGAGTTCGGGGGGACCCAAAACTTATAAACTCGTAGATTTCGAAAAAGACAATACTTCCTCCATAAGTCGTTGTCGTTACCTTATTACCATTGGAAAAATTATTTGTCATGGACACATTTTACATTGCACTTTATACTGCATACTGTGTTAAAAATATTGTTTATATTTATAGAAAATGCAGAATGCACGGACGACTCCATGTGTACAACAGACAAGTCCTGTATTGGCCACAAGTGTGTAGACCCTTGTATGGACCATTGTGGGGTCAACACCGTGTGTAGAGTGGTCAACCATCGACCAGTGTGTGCCTGCCTCAAAGGATTCCTCCACACTTTAGACAAAGGCTGCAGTCCTAAGTGTAAGAAAATATTTGAACGGTTGAAATCTAACATTAAAAATTGTAATTATATACGCAGTAGGATATTGGATATTAATGGATTTTAAGATGTACAGGCGAGTGTAACTGTTCATCAGTCCTAGTAGTTCTTATAACCTCACTGGGATCCTAGAAAGACGATTCAACATATATTGGATAGTTCTAACAGCTATACATTGGTAATATTCTTGTGTCGCAGGGATTCCGGAATGTCAGACTAACTCTCATTGTCCGGATGATCGCTCATGTCGTCTGCAGAAGTGTGTAGATCCTTGTCAAGATGGAGTGTGTGGCAACAACACAGAATGTCACGTCAAGAACCATTACCCTGTGTGTTCATGTAAAGTTGGGTACATAGGAGATGCCTACAATGAATGTGTGCCTTACGGTGAGTATAATAAAATAGCTTGACGTAACACGATTCTTCATTGAAACCGTACAGATTTTCATCACAGAAGTGTTTTTACTTAACTGAAGTGGCACAAAATCTTATCGTCGGGTCTTGCCAAATATGTTGTGCTTTTATTCGTGGAAGCCGCATTTTATAGTAAATTTGCGTACAGTTAGTTCATGCGGGAGAACCAGAGGGGGGATTCCATTCTTTGAACTACATACTCGCCAAAATTAAACTTCTTAGCTAAACTATTTAGATTATTTATAAGTGACAGAAATATAGTTTTAATATTATCCGATGTGTAATTGGTTTGATCATGCCGATATTGAAAAGATAAGTAGAAAACAACATCCTAGAACAATCTTGGAATTTAGTTTTAAGGACAATTATTATCGTTAGTAGTGTATTAAGAATCTAATTGTTCAGTATTACCATTCAAGTAACTACATTTTTTCCATCTGATTTGTCAATCTGACAATTTAAATGGAACGCCTTTTTGTAAAATTGACTTTTCAGTATGTCCTCTAGAAATTAAAGTAATGTCTGCTCATTTTAGAACACAACTAAATATATTTCACAGGTTAAGATTATTACATATATAATCTTTAATCAGTAGTTTTGAAGAAAATGTTTGCATACAGCATGTTTGAAGTGAACTACGTAAACACTACCTAATTTAACAAATCAATTCAAACAACATTCATACGTTTTCTATTTTAAACAAATCAACCCTGATCCACTGATGGTGTGTAGCATCTGATATATTTTTTCTGATCATTTACCATTATTTAATCAATAATTAAGACCATGAAATGTTTTCAAAAACCATTAAACAGATTTTATTTTTTGACAGATGGATTTTGCGTACAGTTGGAATTTGAAACAAATTTCTATTGTATCTCGCAGTTATGTTACACCGATTCAAGATCAATGTTATCCATATACAAATTGATTTTAAAATTTAAAACTCAACTTACTTATAAACTACTGGGGGAATCGTCTAAAATTTAATGACATCTTCCCAGTGGTGTCATAATTATTTGTGCAAATGTTTAACGCTATTAGTGCAGCGGTTCTTGAGTTTTCATGATGCTAACACACTCACACAGGGATAAACGGAAAACGAATTTCCAACTCTATATTTGTTCTCTCATCTATAAGGTTCACGACCCTTTGAGAACCATGAAGCATATCAATCGCATACTTCATCGAAAGGTCTTTACGTGAAACCTCCCTGTAAAATATCATTTTTTCGATGAACCCTCTTCTAAGGGCACACACCTTAATTAAAGGGCTGGATTTAATCACATTTGAAATATTAAATATGCATCAGCTGTTGGATTTGTTTTTATTCATGGTTTTTTGTTTGCATTTTCCTGAGTAAACATTTTGATTCTTATTATTGACTATTAAAGTACCCGTACTATGGGGTTGGCGTAAAAGTGTAGGTGTAAGTGTGTGATGACATAATCTAATTGCAGTTATACTCGTGATTTATGTTTGCAATAGACGGAAGAAACGATTTCAGAAAATTCGGTTCTTTAAAATTACGGTCTGAAATGGTTACACATTTACCATAACCATAATGGTTTACCACTGCACTTAAACTATAGAAAAAAATAAATTATCAAACAATTAGCATTACAAGTGTATCTACTTTCCGAACTTAAAAATTTTTGTGGAACATGTTAGGTTCAAACAGTAAAGTTTAACATTTACTTTTGAATACTTAAGTCGTTATTCCATCTTTATTAACCAGCTCTAGCCTTTTTTTCTATAAAAACGGACATCGTTAAATGTATCATTCGCAGAAAGAACTACTTCCAAAGTTTGTTGTACTTTTCTTTGTTTGTGTATACAGTTGATGTGAGATAAAATATGTTGCTAACCATAAGTCGACTTATCAGTTTGGATTATTAAAAAATAATATATATTGAAGGAATTCAGTAATTTACAATCTGGCATTAACCTTAACACAGGGATAAAATATCTTGTTCAATCATTAGAAATAGATGTCACTTTACCGTACTAGTTGTATTGTTCAAGGCATTTCCAATTACATTACACACTTACCATTGATTAGAAAAACAAAAACTGATTAAACTTTTACTGATTTTTTGCTTAAGAAAATTGTAAACTGTGTACAACTGTATAAGTTCATTTTATAACAGTGTATATTTAGCTTCACCTAAGCAGATGTGTTGAAAAAACTTAATTTATCAAAATATTAAAGGTTTAATTACGAGTTAGGATTAAGATGAAATTAATGTAAATATTTTTATGTAAATGGTGCACAGCATAGGGAATGGTTAAGGACAAATTACAACGGACTTGACTGACAGTAATTGATACTATGGTCTCTCCTAGCTGCTATATAATCTAGCTTATTTTAATGTCCATAATCTAAAAAAAAAAAAAAAAAAAAAAAAAACAATAAACCTGCCACATGATTCAGCTGCTTTTTCATTACATTTACAATGCTGTGTGGCATTTGAAAGAAAATAAATGCGACTTATATTTACTCAAGATAACTGTTTGTTTACTTTGAGATGTTATAGCAAAAATAAAACAGTTATTTACATTACGATTAAGTTATTATTGTCGGGACCACGTTAGTTTGCAGTTGGTGGCAGCCAATCACAAGACGAGGCTAGTGCGACGTTGCCACATCACCCATTGACAACACTAATGCAAAACTATATTTTCAATTTTCAAATCAGCTGGTATTATTAGATTTGGCAACACCACACCGTTCTCATTGGTTCATTGAAAACCATATGGTAAATAGGCTCCTCCCTCAACTGCAAACTTATGTGGTCCCGACAATAGTTTGTTTTTTTTTTACTTCACTGTTGTATAAACAGATACACAATAGTTATTTTCATACAGTTACCTGACAAAACGGACTTTCTTGAACTGATTATAGCATGCTAATACTATTGCGTAACTAGTGTGCGAAGTGGCACTTTCCTGCACATGAGAGAAATGTTTTGCATCAAAAGATTGTTCCATGATATGAAAATATGATGAAACATTAGGTATTGATCCGTTGTATCATGAAATAAATTGTGATAATTCACATTAAATATTAATAACAGATGTATACAGATTTTACAGTTTTGTATTGTTAAGTTTAAAATACGTGAGTGAGGCATAAAAAAGAGTGTGGCAAAAGTAAACTAGTGCGGAAAAAGTAAGTAAATGCAGCAATTAGCTACTATGTGTGCAATAATCAGTGCAAGGAAGCCCACTTTGTCAGGTAACTTTAGCAAAAAAATCTTCTTTAAAATAAGCAATATGTAGAATTGAGATTTGTCCGTATAATTTGCATGGCAAGCGAGAATGGAGTTTCACTGTAGATTCAGAAACCCACGTTATTCTTCTCCTGTTGCGAAGCATGGGCAGAGCAACTAGTTTTAATAAAAGTCGCAGCTTTTCAAAAAGCTACTTAAGTCATAGCACATTCTAAAACCACATACTGTTGAGACAGTTTAGGTGTTTTGGATTTGATCATCACAACTTTACAGACATTTATTTTAAAACCTTTTCATTGTCCCCTGAATGCAAGAGCCAATTTAGTAGTTTTATGGTGATGTATCTTACATTTACAGTTGGCGGAGTTGTTGCAGGTCCTATTAACAATGAGGAACACATAGAAAAACCAATTGAAGAAAAGAAAACCTTCAAATTATCTTTCGCAGGAGAGGTCAGTATACTAAGTTAACACAAGAAATACTAAAAAAGCTGTCAAATTTGATCAACATACATACATAAACAAGCAAATTAACACGTTGAGTGCGGCCGTACCCGATCGGGAACGCTCGGCAATGCCTTTTTTATATCTTTGTTTTTGCTCTAGCGTCGGTCGAAAGCGGACATATACTATGTTAGCGTGTAGTATGTGACTCAAATTTTGTTGTGGTGTAGGTTGGTAGTAAATTTCCCCGTAAAATCCCTGTATGGCAAGCTTAAAAATCAACTTTTTGTCCCGTCTTTTTCCCTCCATTTGGCAATACAATTCCAATGGGACCGGCTACGTTACAAGCAGTGCTGCTATCTGTGGGTGTTTAGTGACTACGTCGACTCTCGTTGTAAAGCAGGACATCCCTGCACGTTCTTTGCCATTCGTCAGACCGAATTTGGAAAGCCAATCACACGCGGCAATCGGGTTTGTTCGACGCTGAGGGCTGCACCGCACTGGGGATACGCCCGTTATTTGACGTGCCGCAGCGAACGGCGTATAAAGTTTTTTCTTTACAATAATGACATGGGAATCTTAAATTTGCAGTTTATGTGAATTTCTTTGCAGCGTTTTATTTTACAACATTTATAACAACATAATTTAGCTGTAATGAAAATTAGGAATTTTTGTGTAAAAACTTTAAAACCCCATTTTTAATTCAAGTTCATGTAGCAATCTTCAAGCCAAACTTAATCAAAATCGTGCCACTTATGGCATTAGCTATTTCCTTATGGGGAAATTCGTTGTAAAGTCCTTTCCTTTAATTTAAATTAAACAATTTTGTACATTTTTAGTCGAGTATTTCTTTCATTGATTTCTTATAATTTTCACTCAATCTTTAAAATATGTGGCTTTATCTTAAATCTTTTTCTATATACTGTATAACACACAGCAATTGGCAATATAGGATGTAATAACTCCTGTGGCCATGTAAACCCAAGCCTTCTGTAATTTTTTCATTTGTTCCCAATCTTCTTACAACCTTAAGCACTTGGTTACTCCACTGCCATTTTTGACGGGTATGCTCCCTATGTAATCAAATGTACTCATACTATACATGTTTATGTCACTATATGTTATATATGTTTTATGTAACTTATACATGTTTACATGTATACATCTCCGTCACATCACTTCACGTCCGGAATATGGTTGAATGCTCTAGGAGCATACAGTGACGTGACGTGACGGAGATGTATGTATAGCCCCCGGTAACGTCCAGCGACGTCGATTCGGCCAGATCCACTAGAAA